TATATATATATTAAAAGGAAACTCAGTTTGTGAATACTATTTTATATGATATTATAATATTATAAAATTTTACTTTCAGCAATATTTTTATGAATAAAGTGTGCGTTTTCCTGAAAATGATTGCATTATAAAATTCCATTTATTTAATCTTAACTCATTTTAGTTTAGGCCTTTTATTTACCTTTCTCCTTTGTGATGTGCGAGTTATTTTTAAGCAGTTAATTTGTTTAGCTGTTTTGAGTATAACTGTAATAAAGTTGCATTAAATTTTGAAAAAAAAAATTTCAATTGCAATTACTTCTATATTTTTAAAAATGATATGAAACCAAATCAAACATTCCAGATGTTTCTGTGGTACAATGTCTAGGACTGTGCATACAGCGCCAGACTGCAAGCAAAGAAAAAAGTTGCAGGGCATTTAATTACAATGAGCGAACATGCTACATGTTGAACACTTTTGTGTGTGACGGAGAAAGAGACCTTACAGACGCACCTGGTTACAAGTACTTCGATTTAGTAGATGATTATTCGAAAGAGGTAATATAATGGTAAAACTATTTTTATAACTTATTACCGTTTATTTAATTGCTTATCACTTACACTTATTTCGGAAACTAAGTTTAACAAAAGACAAGAGACGCACATGGGACGTACTCTAAACAACGATTTTGCTTTGAATCATTCATTCTAGTTATCATGCTCTTTCTAATGAAATATATTCATAGTGGATATCTTTAGTTTTTTGTTTTTCTATACATAGTTATATATTTTCTATACATTAATGAGCAATAAAAAGCTATTTTAACAATAATTTATAAAAGAGAAGCTAGAAAAATTTTTTTTGGTGCAAATGTCTGATTCATGTGCAAAATTTAGCCCGAGGTGCCTCAGGGGATAGAGCGTTCGACTTCCAATGATATGACCCAGGTTCGAATCCCAGCGGTAGCTGGTTAATGCGAATTCTGCTCTCTGCTTGCACCGACCACAGTGCTGTTGTAAAATATCCTCACTGGAAGACAGATTATGGTTTAGAATCCCCTTATCGTCGGGTTAATCTTGGGAGGTTTTAGTGGTTTTCCTTTCCGCGCAAAGGAAATGCGAGTTAGTTCCATCAATAAGTCCTTTATGTAGGCTAGTGTGTCCCAATTATCGATCCAGGAGTGCCCTTGTCCTTTGGATTGGGTTCAAAATAACAAAGCTACGGAGTTGAGCCTTAATGGTTTTGACCTCTGAATTGGTTCGACTGTTCAATGCTGGTTCTAAAACTATGAAATATGGACTAGACTCAGAATTACGTTGAAAATAAAATAAGTTGATGTGGCTGGTTAGAATTTGAATAAAACTAGTTAGAAAAAAATTGAATGACTAAATTGAAAAAGTGAGGACAACATAAGCGTTTGATATACTTTATTCAAAGAATACTTTACTCCTGCTTCAAATTCCAAATTGTCCGATTATTTGTTTCTCTTTTTTATTGTTTCTACTTTCCCAACTTTGGCACGCTCCAGAAAATGGTTATTTCTCGAGGATATGATTTTTAAACTTTAAGCTTTCATTGAAAATTTGATAAAATCGGTTTTTGTATAAAAACTTTTATCATAGCATTTAAAAGATTTAATTTGATAGAGAATATGGTTCCAGTAATGAATTAGTTATATTGAAAATGCTTTAAATTAAATTTGTTTCGTCATAGGAAGGATATATGAAGACAAAGCAATGTGCAGCAAAAGGAAAATGTTCGAGTAGATGTTGTAAGTTACATTTTAAAAATAATATTTAGAAATAATATTAAAAAAAATGAATTTCAGTATATTTTGTGTAGCTTGAAGAAAATAAATATTATCAACCACAGTTGCTTCTAAACAACGCATCATTGGTTTGATTTTCCTATATCTTGTTTTAAATCCAATCACCGAGTCAATCTTAAGCATCTGAGATGAATGAAAATAAATCAGTTGTTGGAAATACTGCATTATATTTGTAGATAATTAGAGCAACAATTTTTTTTGAGATGTAGTAATTACAAACTACATTTGAAATGCTGTCAATAATTTTAGAATCAAGAAGTATCATTCATAAGTATTCATAAATTTTGAATCAAGAAGCATCCTTCATAAGTATTCATAAATTTTGAATCAAGAAGTATCCTTCATAAGTATTCATAAATTTTGAATCAAGAAGTATTATTCATAAGTATTCATAAATTTTGAATCAAAAAGCATCATTCATAAGTATTCATAAATTTTGAATCAATAAATATTTATTCTTCTTTACATGAGACAGTTCAAGATCACGATGTATGAATAAATGAATGGAGTATGAATGGGTCCTCCCTGAAAAACAAGCTGTGATGTGTGTGCGGCATCCCAATTTTTGATGGTCCCATAAAAAAGTTTTGAAATTTTATCTTGGATTTAGTGCGGTTCATGATTTTTTTAACGTCATCTAACATTTTCCGTTATGCATTCATGGTATTAGATATGCAAACAAAATTCCATCATTTCATGATGGAAATTGCTACTTTAATACTACGATGGTTAACCGTCAGAGGAAGTTTGATTCTCATGCGCCAATAAAATCCATGATGGTTTAATGGGAAGTTTTGTTGGTTCTCAGGAATATACAAGCAAAACAATATGGTTTTTTGTTATTTAACATGCTGGCTCCTCATAAATCAGTCCGAATACCAACATTGGGGAGATAAAGGCTCATGATCGTTCCAATATTTGATTTCGAAGAAACTATGATGGAAATTCAGGGTATAACAATTCATTTCCATGATGGTTTAATAATAATTTTTTAGCGCGAATATACCAACAAAACAAGTTACTATATGTTGGACCATCAAAAAATCAGTCCGAATTCCTATATTGGGGTTATGGTTACTTATGTTGGTTACCATCAAAAAATAAAGTGGTTCATGATGGAATTATTGATGGTTAACATCAATATTATGTTGATCCATCAATGAAAAACCATAAAAAATTCTGACTTGGGTTTAGTCGTATTCTTGGCCAGAGATGGCGCCACTGAAAAACAAGAAACGCACCCTCAGCCTTAAAAAATTTGCTTAATTTCCCAAGCAGGTTTGCTGGTATTGCCAAGTGTCATTAGTTACAACAACCAACATGAGGCACTGTGTTATTTTAAATCATTTTTCACGAATTTGTCCGTTTTACCTACCTCTTCTGGTGTGTCTCTAGACAGCATAAATTTAAAAAATTTTGAAAAATAATCACGTGAATTAGCGTGATAATTTCGAGACCCGCGTCTCGTCACGTGAATTACTAGAGTTCTTATCTGAAGTGGGGATGTGCTCACATCAAGCAAACATTTTTCATTCTTTTCAAAAAGGAAGTAGTATACAAAACAAGAAAATATTCATTTAACTAAAACAAATAACCACTTTCTAAATAGGAGCTTTTTTGTATCACAGCATATTAACGCAATTTTTATTAACGCTTTGCCACAGAGCTATTTTGAACCTTGTTTCCTTACTAAGTTAAGGTTAAAAATAGTCGCTAGGAATCGGTACAAACTATTGTTTTATTGTATCACACTACTCGCTATACAACATGTTTTCTTTAAAAAAGTACCTCACTAAACTACAAAAAACAGAGAAAACAGGAAACTACGGTAGTTTTGCTATTTGCAACTCACTAATTACGACTAATGAGGTGAAGGATGCAGAATCTTAACGCGAAAATCCGTTAACTACATCTTTCGTTGTGGTTTTCACTTTCATTCGTTAAAAATGTTTTTTCCTTTCGTTAAATTGTTGTTGGAAGATTGATTAGTTATGTAAGAAGAAAGACGTTATTTTTGTTACTTTTTAATAGTTGTGATTATATATGTTTTTTTTAACTCTCAACAGTGAGTGAAAATTGTCTTAATAAAAATCTTGTGCTTTAAAAAAAAAAAAAAAAAAAACTCAAGATCAAAAAGTTTACAAAACCACTGCAAAAAATTTATTTTAATTTAAAAACTAATTCGGGTGTGCAAATCTGAGACAAAAAAAACTAATTTTGAAATGCATTTTTCTTAAAATAAATTTTCTTTTTCAACAGGTATCATTAAACATAGGCAAAGTGTTCGTGTTAAAATTAATCACTAAAAAGTAAAAAAAAAGTGCCTTTTTTTTCTATGTTCATTTACACATGCACACAAGATCAATTTAGCCAATTAGCTAATTAAAGCCGAAAAAACTGTCTGAGTATATATATATTATACAAGGAAGGTAAATTAGAAATTATTATTAATACAGCTTCTAAGTTATAAACATGAAATAAATTTATATTTATGAATTCCTCTTTAATTCTAAAATATTTAGGAAAATTATATTATTTACATACATTACATTAAAAATTTACATTAATTATTAAATACAAATTCTAAAGTATTTCTTGGCAAAAATATTAAATCACTTCATGCCTCGAGTGAAAGGCAAACTCATGGAAATGTCCAACAAAATATTTTATTTTGCAAATTTAAGTATTTTTTATTGTAAATTCTGGAATTTAAAAATTTAAATGAACTTCCGTTGGAATAATTTGAATTTTTGTGGATTATATTTTTAAAACTGTTTTTAAAATATTTGGAAAACAAAAACATGTTACAATATTGAAATATGTTATTCTCTTGTTCAGCCAAAGCTTACCTTTGTAACGAGTGTTTTATTTTTCAGTGAAGTTCCGGCTCTATAAACTGCCTATGTCTTGGCATGAGGCTCATGCAGCTTGCAAAGAGGAGCAGGCATATTTGGCAATGCCTCGTTCACGACATGATCATGAAACTCTTATAAGTAAGTAAAAGTTGGTCATGAAATCCTTTTCTCTTCTTAAAATAATGTTTTTTTGCAAACTAAATGTAAACTAAAGAACTGATTATTTTAAGAATATGCTTATGAATTAGATGCTTTAATTTAAAATTAAGAGAAACAATAACATCATTTTTAAATTTTAAATCAGTAGTCCCAATACGGATCAAACTCATTTTAGAGATTTTTTTTATCTATGGAGCCACGCAATTTAATTACAAAAAAAATGAATCGTTAGTTTGGAATTATAGGCGCAATAGCCATTTGCTGAAACATCGCCATAAGCTAGGCTTATATTTTACAACTAGGCTGTGGTTTGAAATCTGGAATGTTGTGTTAGAGCCAATGTCCTTGAGGTATGAGTAAAGTATATAAACTACCCTACAATAAGGGAAGAGATACTTTCAGTTTTTGACATTTTTTTAAGTTTCTCAAGAAATACGTACAATATTATTTTACATTTCTAGAGATGTTTCGTTCATTTAATTTTTCATACTTATCAATTCATTCAATTTTTCACACTTATCAGCTTTCAGAGGTTTGGAAGAACTACAAAAAATTACGAAAAAAAACAAGTATTTTTGAACACCTTATGCCAGAAAATAAAACAATAAGCTTGTAGCTTGCATATAATACTTTGGTTGTTATTTGCAATAATTGGGTATACTATAGCCTACGTCACAGATCGTGTTATTCCTACTAAATTTAACTAGTAAACAGCATTTTCTGCGAACCTGATTTCTAGCAACAAGTAAAAGCATCAAACGAAGTGTCTTGTTTATAAGTCGCTACTCGCCAGGTTGGACTTGTATTAGTCTAGTTCCTTTGGAAATAATTTATATTGTTGTTTTACCGAAGTTTATGAATTTAGTAAACATATTTAAAACTCAGTTTATTAATTAAACTAAAAGGTAAATGTTATTCCCAGTAAGTGGAAGTAGTTGTGCTTTTTTGATATTATACCCAATTGTCTAAAATGTCGCTAACTTAGCTTAAATATTTATGGAAATGTGGACCTTTAAAAAAATGTTTTTGGACCTTCCTTTTTTTGCGATAACTTTATAAATATTCAGTTGAATTAAAATCATTTTTTGAACAATTTAAAATTAATTTCAAAATTATTGATTTAAAGTTTTAAAAACAATTTTGAAAATTACGCAGTATATAAATAGTTAAGTCAGTTCTTTTATACTTTGCATGCGCAGTAAGTATTAAAATAAAGTTTCTTTTCAAAATTTTATAACAAATCGTATCTGGCAACTAATCAAAAAAATTGACTTGAACATCCTAAAAAATTTAAAAAGTTTCAAGTAATTTTATAAACAGTTTTTGTACCTTTTGAAAGGAAATTTCAAAATGATCAGGGGTTATCCACAAATTTGATTTTGTATCACAAGACAAAATTTAATAACAAATGATAATAACTTATACTAATCGTCCGGAAACGAAAATATAATGGTATAAGGAAGGAAAACATTTTTCATAGGATATCATCCCCCACAATGCCGGTCTCATTTCTAATAAATCTTGTGCAGTAGTACAAAATGAAACTTGTGAAAAACCCCTTATCATGTTAGCTTTCTTTTGAAAAGTACAAAAAATTCTTAAAAAATTGCTTGAAATTTTTGCAATATTTCAGATAATGAAATTTTTTTTTCATTTGTTGCCAAATATTTCACTACAAGATTATGAAAAAAAAAGGTTTTCAATTTTTTGGTGCATACATAGTAAAAAAATAACCACTTCAATTACTCATATCATCTAATTACCTTAAAACAACTACAGTGTCGTACTGACCAATTTTCTAGCGCCGTCATCTAATCTGACTCTAAAGCAGCACTTCTTGATATTAACTTTCTACTGATTCCCCAATCAATCTCCATTCAGAAATGCACTGATTGTCCGAGAGACCTGACACTAAAAGGCAAGCAATCGTCCTCCAGTGGTTCCCGGGACATTGCGGGATTTGGGGTTGTGAAAAAGCTGATTTCTTGGCCAAGAAAGGAACAACTATTGCCCAAGCATCTCGTTGCTCCACCTCTCTGCACTCATTTAAATTGCTGGTCCGAAACCAATTCCGGAACATGATCTCAGAAAACATCCGTAAAAGGCAATATACACAAAACCTGGTTCAACCATACTTTAACTATCCCAAATCAGGTTTAAGGCAGTTGCTCTCTTTAGACATGTAACGGGTTATGACTGTCTGGCCAAGCACCTCTTTAGCATAAACATTTTTGACTGTCCTAAATGCAAGCTCTGTCGCCTAGGGAAGGACATGGACCTGCCCCATATTTCCGTCTGTCCTGCGCTCATATCCACTACTGTGTGTGGACGCTACTGGGAGGCTAGGGCCCGTATGGGCTAAGCATGTCACTATGCATTCTATTCTATTTATCTCTTTTTGCCTTGTTTTTCTAGTTATTTTATCCTTTTTGTTCTTTTAAATTGACCTGCCATTGGAAATTAAAAAAAATGATTACTCATATTGTTTTTAAATTTTAATTTTTAAATCAATAATTTCGTAATTAATTATAAATTGCATCAAAAATTTTGTTTAATTCCAATAAGTATTTTAAAAGTTATAACAAGGAAACGAAAGACAAAAACGTTAGTTTTTCATAAAAAGTTCCATGTCACCATAAATATTTAAGCTAGGCTTACGAAATTTTATGCAAATCTTTCAAATAGCAACCAAAGTAAGCGATACAAGCTACAAGCTCATTGCTTGATCAGTGTATTCAAAAATACTTGATTTTCTTCGCAGTTTATTGTCTGCCTCACAAACCTCAGAAAGCTTCAAATCTTATTGGTAAGTATTTAAAAAAAGCATGAACTAAACACCTATAAAGATACAGAATGATCCACTAAGTATTTCTGGAGAAATTTAAAAAAAAAAGTCAAAAAACTGAAAATGTCTCTTTAACAAGAAACTTCATGAAACTGTCCATATCTTCATGAATATTTACTTAGGGTAGCGTGTATAGAGAAGTTTTCGCTCCAAAAAATGAAATCAACGATGGATTGAAGCTACCGACATAGCGTTGTCTTTGAAGTTTCAAGCAGTTGGATTGGATTAAAATTTATTCATATAAGCGGAAAAAATAAATAAATGAAACTTTTCTTATACGAAGGTATTTTTGTATGATATTTCAAACTTCATATGCTCAAAGAGAAGATGCAAAATTGTTTTCGCAACATTTTTAAGAACTCGTTTTCATGTGCTCGAAGTTCTTTCTATCACATTTCGACAAGTTCCGACTAATAAGAGTGCTCAAATCTCTACCAAGGCTCTGCACCCGATGATTAATACAAGGAAGATAATAAACTTATCAGCAATTCAAATTTTCCCTATCAATCAATACTGAGTTGTTTTAGCTCATTGAATGCTCCATATTTCACGTGTTAAAGCCACAACTTGGGCTCTGCGTTTAATGCTAATTAATTAAAATATTTTCTTCTGTGTTTCCAATCACAACTTCAAGCTTTTTATAGCATTTAAATAATAAGACAATTTAAACTAAAAAGATGTTTATAAGAAAAGAAAGTGATAGCAAGGAAAGAGAGATAAGGAGAATAAATTTTATTTTTGTCAAACTTAGAGGAAACAATCACATTCATAAGCTTCTAAAAATTCGTTCATCAAAAATAGTTTCATCAAAGAGTTCTCCACGAAGGCAAATTGCTCCCATCACTTGATCCAGGAGCTCTCTTGCCTCCTGGTTTGGGTTCAAAATTACAAGGCTAAGGGGTGGAACATTAGCAGTCATAAACCCAAAAATTGGGTCGGCTGTTCAACAACGGTTATAAAATTATAAAATTATAAAAGTGGCATTAGAAACAACAACAAGAGTTACTCGGGTTTAACAATAAAATAAAACCTATGCGATTTAGAATTACAGACTTCCTAAAAAGCTCCATATTAGGATTAATGCTGGGCAATTAATTACTTGCTTCATTTATCCAATTATTTTCCAGTTTGAATAGAGATCTCAGGCAAAGATAACTATAGAAAAACGTTGCCATCAAGTGCGATATGAATTTTCATTCACGCTCACCTTATATATTGAGTCAAAACATAATTATAAACGAATATGTAATTAGCTGTCAAATAAAATCATGTTCTATTAATTAGAGCTAGGTAAAGCCACTGTTTTTACCTTTTAAATGAATAGTCTGTAGAGTATTAGAAGTCGTAAATTTAAACAATTGTGTTGGTTGTTCAACGATGGTTATAAAATGAAATAAAATAAGCTTGTTTGACTATTTATTTTAAAATGCAGCTTTATTTCTTTCTCATTTTTCTTAGAAATGATGAAGAAAGATAACATTCTGCAATCCTGGATTGGCATAAAGCGACAGAAGGGGGTGTTCTATTATGACAATGGAGATCCACTTTTACAGAACAAAACTTTTTGGGGTCCTGATCAACCCAATGACAGTGGGGGTGTTCAGCATTGTGTGCAAATGATGGATGAAATGGAATACATGTGGAATGATTTCGAATGCTCACGACCACTTGGATTTTTCTGTCAATATGTTTGGTAAATTTTGCTTAAGGAGGCTGTAAGCGCTGGCAAGAAACCTTATATTTCTTCTAAAGAAAAAAAAAAGTGTTCAGTAGAATCGCAGCTCTTGAAACTTAGTGATTTAAAATAGTTCAAATAAAAACAATAAAAATATTTATTTGCTTTCATTAAATGTTGTTTCTGAATTATTATAAAGCAAAATTAGAAACATTCATATTCCGGGCATGATTTTATTTTTCAAAATCAATAATAATGTTTGCTACTGCTAAAAAATATTAGTAAAAGTAAAGGTTCATGCTATCAGTTTTTAAAGCGACATTGCAATGCATTTCGTTACGCAGAAAATCTTCTATGTTCAATTTCTATGTGGTTTATTGCAATAAAACGATCATTGAATGTTAAGTATTAAATATTCGTACTCATGTGAAGGTTTGTATTAAAAACATCGGAATACCATATGAAAAGGCAATAAAATAAACCACATAAAAAGGCAATAAAAACAAAAAAATAACTAAAATAACTGTCCAGAAAACAATCAGAAAACGACGTGAATTAATGTCCAAATAGCCGTGAATCGTGTGCATCAAAAACTGATTACTTAAATTCGTTTCTTACTTCGTGTGTAGCAATATTATTGCACTAAGAAAACCAAATTTGAAAAATCGTAGGAAGATCGCGGAAGAAAACGATAAATAATTATCAAAAAAATAATCGTAATAAGATGGAGGATTAACGATAAATTGTCGTTAAGAGGTGATAACTCTTATTCGAAATTCGAGTGTCGGAATAACATCGGATTAAAAATATCGGTAATTGAATAATCACGCAAAAAACGACGAATAAACGATCAAAAACTCAAGACCAATTGACGGTACTAGCAATTTTTGCTACTGCGTTTTCTTGTAACTCTTCGCTTTTCTAACAAGCAATTAGCTACTTGCTAGTTGATGAAATCGTGACCTAATCATATGAATTCTTTTACTAGATAAAGCTACATTAATGTGTCTTATTCAAGTGATAAATCAGCTCTATTCGGATTTGAATAAAAAGGATTAAATTATTAATAGAATAGAATAAAATTTCTGAATAAAAGTTTACTCCTAAACAATAAACGCCTAAAAACGAGCCAAGCAAAGTAAATGTTAAAGCTGTGAATTTCAACTAAAGGGAATGTAATATGATTGTAGTTCACTATTTAAGATTTAATTACTTTCATACAATATATGAAATTGTGTGTTCATGTACTTCCATATTTTTATACTTTAAAAAATTGCGTAAAAAACAATATTTTTTTGCTAAATTATAATAATGTCTAAAATTGTAATTTATCACAATGAATTTAATGGATATCTGCCCTCTTAAAGCATTTTTTTAAAAATAAATCAACCATAAACATGATATTTAATATTTCCTTAACAGTTAATATTTATTTTTCAATCTATATACAAAACGTAACATATTTTTCAATTGAGGTCAAGAAATTGTTTAACAAAGAAACTGAGTAAGGTGCGCCGAAAAGTTAAAAACATGTTTGATTACTAAAAACAACGAGGGCTTAATAAATGTCTATTAAATACCCTTATAAGTTAATCATTTAATTAAATTAGTATTGTTGTTTTCAATTCCTTATTTTAAACTGTGATTTTTTTGTATTTTGGTAGACTGCTTGTTACTAAATGTTAATTATTTCAAAATATGTGTGGGTACTCGTAGATTAATGGTGGTTGAATTATTATTTACGCTCCCTAGTTAGTATACTTATTTTACTTTCTTTGTAACACGATTCTGAAAAATCAAGGGTGGTTGTTACGGAACATCCTGTATGAAAAGTATGAAACTATAAATAACGTTTTTAAAAATTATCTAGATCCATGAAGCAAAAGCTTTACTGTAAACTGGATTTCTAATTCGTAAATAAACAAAGCAAAGAGAAATACCATTCAATTATTTTTATTCAAAACTCGAGAAGTATTTCGCAGAATCTCTCTGATTCCACATTTCGAGAATAAATTCTTTAAATTTCAATGCATATTGAACTTAATGAAAAAAAAGAAATCTAAAAAATGTCGTTTTCATATCATTAAATAGCATCTGTCGCCATAGCAACGCATGCAATGACGACGCATGAGCACTGAACATATAGATTAAACAAAATTATGCAGCAGCATATTATAATTTAAAAAAAGAAGTTTTATAAAATAGCTGTTTAATATTGAAAAACTAATGAATATTTGTTTATTCATCTCAAAATTATAATTCTACTTAATTTCTTTATATTCTCTTACACTTGGATATCGCATTAAAATGAGGGGTTTCAAATATTCTACATTTTTCGCATCAATATGCAACAAATTAGCAATTTCACGGCATGACGATAACTTCAAATTGATAATATCGCAAACTCTCTAATTATAGCTCCAGAGAATCTTTCAGATAATTTCGATCATGACTTAAATCGATATTAAAAATGCGTAGCCACTTCACTTCGCAGAAACCACGTAGTTTCATTCGTTTTTAATGGCTTCAATATTATCTCGGAAACATTTAACTTGCATTAAATCATCTTTTATGCTGTCGAATGTATTTCTCATTAGGTGTTTTAAAATTTCCCGATGCTTTTAAATGATTTTAACCGCGAAATGGTGAATCAATTAAAAGTGAAATTTAAGGACTCTACTTATAACTTATTTTTACAAGATTGATATTGTTTAATAATTGCAACTAAATTATTTAAAAAGTATTTTTAGTAGACATTTAAGTAGACATTTTTCATATTTTATGCCACCAAAAAAAAACACAATTTTTTTTTCTAAATAGAGTTAAACAACAGAAAAAATTTCAATAAATAACCAAAAGAAATTGAAGAGGTAATATATTACTTGGTTAAAATAATTTATTTAAAATTTATCGAAGATCAATTAAGTATTTAAAATGCCAGGCAACTTCACTAAGAGACAACCATGTAGTTTCATGCGTTTTAATGACATCATTATTATCTCGGAGACATTTAACTTGCATTAAATCATCTTTCAGGTGGTCGAATGTATTTCTCATCATCCATTTTAAATTTTAATGATAATTTTAACGATAGACTCCAACGTTAAGCAGAAAACAGAAACGTAGTGTTGTTTAAAACTTTAAATATTAGCAATGTTCAAAAATGTTTTAATCGGGAAAAGTAAACATTACTTGGAATGAATTATTATGAATTAATTATTTTTTTTAAATAAAAAATTGGAAAATATATGAATAATTTAAATATATGAGTGTTTTAGTAAAGTATGTCGACGCTAATTTTCATTGAAATTCAATGAATTTAATAATTCAAAAAGTATTGATAAAGTACTCTGACACATTCAGCATTTACAAAACTTTTTATTTATCAGACAATGAAGAATTTAAATTTGACTGATGACGGATTCAGCTTGTTAAATAAATATATTTCGATGAGTGGAGAAAATGGACGAGAGAATTCAATTTCTTTTCTCTATTTAACGCAATGTGTATGAATGCTTAATAACCAGGAAAGTTTCTTGGTTTTTAACGAAACCTTATTCAGGGAAATACCTTGAGTAAGCATTTCGTCAAATTGTTCAAATTTTTTAATGGCAATATGCTGTTTAAGGCAAATGATAAGGTAGTTATATTATGTAATACATAGACAGTTTGCTTTCCAATGAGGAGAACTTGGTTCGAATCCCAGTGATGTCTGGTTGATTTCGTACCTGGCTCGCACCGACCACAGTCCTGACGTAAAATAACCTTAGTGGTGTAAGGATCGTGGGTTAGAGTCCCCTTCTCGACAGGGAAATTATGAGAGAGAAAAATATATGGAATGCATACAGTACAATCCGTTATAAAATAAATTATAAATTGCTGGAGGACAATGTTAATTCTAGCTATGTTAATGTTATGTTAATTTCAATGTATTCACAAAATAACTGCTTTGCCAAACATTTTTGTGTGGTCCTGATTTCATGACAAATTCCAAAAGTAGTGCAAAGATTGCTTTATCTAAGAAAATGTAAAGTTACTTTCAGAATAAAGTTTTAGTTTCAATTTTTTTAGAATGTATAGATCTTCCCAAAAAATTCCAAAGAAAAATTTATTCGCAATAAAAAGTTTTCCTTCCTTATGATTGGTGAGTAAATATTTATTTGCTTGTAAATATTTATTTATTTATTTATTACTAAATAATATTACTGCTTCTTTAAAAATTTAAAAAGTTTTGTAAGATATACTATGGAGTTAATTTTATTTAAAAAAATAAAGAACACCAAAAAGCTCTCCAAAATAAATCCAAAAGAATGCACATTCTTTCAAAATATATGTGAAATATTCGCTTATAAATAGTTATTTTTTGCATCGTCATAATAGAATCAAAAGGATTCAAGAAGTATTTCATCTGTCGATATAAATTTAGATATTTGAAAAATTGTATTGGCATTTGAATATCAATGTTTAAGAGAAACTTTAGTTTCAAACATTCCTGCAAATTTAATTTTCAAATGCAAAAATATACAGAGTGTTTCATTTTATTGTACTTATTTTAAATGTTACTTTGAAAACTTTAAAATGAACGTAGAATGGAATTCATTTCTATTAAAAGAAGCTTAATAAAATGAAAAATAAACTTAACTTATAAAACTTGACAAAACACATTCACTTATCGTTCCAATATTTAATCTGACAAAGAAATTTAATTTTAACAGTCAAGTTTAGTTTACAACTTACATGACTTAAAAGAGATGTAATATAATCAAAATTTTTGTTTGCTAGTTGGTTCTTAAAATAAATGACAAAATGCCATAAAATATTAGAAACGAAATCGAACAATAAAAAGAAATTTACATCGAAATTTATTTACTTAAATATCCGTCGAAATGTAGATACGAATGTACTTTATTTACAATAGAAATTTGGGTTTATTGCATATTTATGTATAAACTATTTGCCAAATATAAAGTATAACATTGGATTAAAATCACAGCCTTTTGCATCTTTTGTTTATTTTATACATTTAAAAATGTATAAAATAAACAAAAGATGCTTCTTTTAAGCTTTTGCTCAAATTGCGAATACTATCACAAATATATTAAATGTAATTATTTTCCTTGCAAAATAAATACAAAATATTAAGTTGTAATTACGTG